TACTGCATGCATTGTTACACACATAAACAGTTGTACATGTTTGATTTGCTGAACCTCCTTGAACGCGGGCGTTTACTCCACGCAGGAGGCCAACCTGTGTTTTCAGACGACTCTGGCTTTGTGTCACAGCGTCACGTGCCTCAACCTTCCTGAAACACTCGACAGAAACATCGGTGTGCCTTGCTCAGACGTTTGACAGAACTTTTCAGTGTTGAGCAAAACTTTAATAAAGAGCTCGTTTATTTCTTCTCGACTTAGCTTCCTTTGCTTTTCCAAAAACACCATCCTTTCATGTAAGTGTCCAGATTTATTGGCAAATAGTTGTTCATGGTAATTCCCTTACTATCTTTTTATTGTCCCCAGGATCTTCAGTGACCATTCCCCAGTGTCAAATTTCTGAAATTGATCATTCTTATCTTCTACTTTCAGAAATTAGATATAGAAGAGCAAATTAAGTGGAAAGTAATCAAGAAAAAGGAAAAAAAATAGAGAGCAGAAAACAGTGAAGAAGAAATCAGAAAACAATTGGCAGAATAAAATGAAAAGCAGGCGCGCCGAGGCCAATACAACTGGTAAACCTCTAACCATGCCGTTGACAGAAGGGCCCGATGTCCCTGCATCTGTGCCTGCCTGCTCATTTTCTATTGGTTGTAAACATCAAAATGGTGCATTCCAGCTCCCTGGACGCTAGCCTGGGCGTCCTCACGGGCTTTAGCTGTGCCCAATGCAGCCTGGCCTCTGATCCCACAGCCACACTGTCCTGCCCTGCCCACTGCCTGAGGTCTGAAAACCAGCATTTCTCATACGTTTTCTGGTTTTAATTTGGTACCTGTTTCTGCGTGTACCCAGGTTCGATCTCTAGGTTGGGAAGATGCCCTGGAGAAGGGAGGGGCTGCCCACTCCAGTGTTCTTGCTTGGAGAAGCCCATGGACAGCGGAGCCGGGCAGGCTGCAGTCCACGGGGTCGCAAGGGGTCGCAAAGAGTTGGACACGAATGAGCGACTCTCACTTTTCACTTTCTCCGTGCTAGCTGGAAGCAGATATTACTCATCACATTATTTTTTTAAATAATTCTCAGGGAAAATTGTGAAAGGCTTTCAAATGGGCATAACAGACTAGGGGCGTCCTGTCCCTCTGGGGGGTCTCTCAACCTTAGTGACCCCCGAGCTGTTGTGCGGTCCCGTGAACTCTGAACTCCAGCAGAAACGCAAGGGTTCAGGACTGCAGGATGCCAGCGCCCAGCAAAGCACAGCTCGCGTGGCCGGTCCGCCACCCGTGGACGTGGGCTCCCCTCGGTGTCGCCGACAGGAGAGGCCGGTGTTCCCCCTTTGGACTCTTCTTTGAACCGGTTCTAACACCTTACTGGTTCTCTCATTAGTAAATAACAAATATCTGTTATCTCAATAAAAGTCGTCACCACTTGCTCATTTGTCATGTCTGTGTGTGAGCCAGCGCCCCGCATGCCGTCAACACACACGTGCGACCCTGTGCCTGGCTGAGGGCAGCACCTTCTCCCTGGGACACGCAGACGTCAGGCGGAAGGCTCTGACGTCAAACTCGAGGCAGAAGTCCTCATCTCTCTGCGCAGTTCCTCACTCTCATCTAAGCGAGAGCTGAGCACCCCATGTACACACACTCCTGGGTGCTGGACGCAGCCGCAGGACGGGCCCACCCCACGCACACACAGTCCCGGGCGCTGGACGCAGCCGCAGGACAGGCCTGGTCACGTGTGTATCGCCTATTACAGCCAACTCCACCAACCTGGCTCAGTCTGAAGAACGAGGCTTGGGGACCACCGGAGGCCTCAGGTCTGGTGGCAGCCTCCTCCAGGGCCCTCCTGGGGACCCCACGAGCAGGGTCCGGCCCCCCGGCCCAGCACTGTCTCTCCGAAGCAATGGAGGCCCCCGAGGGCGTGTCCGGCCCACTCCCCCCACTGAGCAGCGCCTGCACATGGTGGGCACCTCCCAAGCCTCGTCTGTCCCTGCGAGGTACTCACCCCACAGGCCCCCGGGACCTCAGCTGCCCCTCAGCCCCACAAAGGCCCCAGCTCAGGCACCTCATGAGGACGGGCCGCAGCACATGAGCAGGGGCATGCAGACATCCAGGCCGGGCGTCTGGAGCCTGCAGCTCCAGAATGCACGTTCAGGCAGAGGAAGCCACAGAGCAAGACAAGGCCAGGGAGGCCGGGAGGCTGGGAGCGCGCCGAGAGGGCCTCTCGAGGGGCAGCAACCTCCGGGACCAGGAAGGGGCAGGCGGGGTGGAGGGAGCAAGTGCAGAAGGAGGCAGGGAGGCCCGCACGGACCCCCAACCCTCAGCCCGAGACAGGAAGCAGAAGGGTGGCAGGACCCGGGCTCCCTTTGCAGGGCGCGCCGCTGCTCTCAGAGGACGGAGGGGGTGAGGCAGCCCGGGGAGGTTCCGGGGGGGCCGTGAAGGGCCCGGGAAGACTGCCGCTGGCCCGGAGGAGGGTGAGGCGGGGGCTGGGCCTGTGGCTGTGCTGGGCCCAGGAGTTGGATGCCCGGAGGAGGCCAGGGCTGGGACACACGTGGGGGGCAGCTGGGATGACGCCAGGCTCTGCACCTTCTGGAAGGTGGCCCACTCTCCGGGGTGCGGAGACCATGGTCGGACGGAACACGTGAGAACTGCAGCTCAGAGCTGAGCGCGAGAACATGGACCGCGTTTTCTCCGGCTCCTACGTTTTCACAGGATCAAGTTTTACAAAAACGGCAAAAATTATTCCAAGGATTCTAGGAAAATGAAGGTTCTATCCAGTTCTGTTTGTAAAAGCAGGTAAAGCCTCCTTTGAGAAATATCAGAACTGCATAATAGAAACTCCAGGATTAAAATAACGACATCCTCCAGCCCCCTCCCCTGGACCACTGGTCACCTTGGTCTGGGCGAGGCTGCTCCGGCCCAGTCCCGCAGCTGCTGGGCCGCGGGCGGCGGGGGCCACCCCCCTGACCGGGTCAGCCCAGGAAGTGAGGGGGCCTGTGCTGCTGAGGCTTCTTCCTCCCAGAGAGGCTGCGCCTGCAGCCCAGGGGCTCTCCGCCCGTCGCATGCGCTGGTACCCAGGACTGAGGCATGTGTTCCGAGAAGGAGGCGGGCATCTGGACGCTGATTTAGAGGAAAACGCCTGCCCGGCCCCTGGGCTCCGCTTCAGGGAACAGCTGCCGGGCTGCATGTGCAGCTGGGAGGCTGGGAAGGGGCGCCCCCGTGGCCTGTGTGCCCTGGGCTCAGAGCCAGGAGGAGTGGGGCTGCCTGGCTCTGAACTCCCCCTGGAGCAGCAGCCATGAGTGTCCTGAGCCAATGGCGACTCCAGGTGGTCAGTAAAACACAGGCAGAGGAGGTTGGAGGTGAACCCCACACCTCCAGCCTGTTTCCCGCGCCCCAGGGGCTCTCACAGATGGCAGCCCCCGGGGACCCTCTTGGAGGGCGGCCCCAGGGGGCTCTTGGGACGGTGGCCCACACCTTCACAGACCTCCCGCCTGCTCCCATGGGGCCATGACCGCCAGGACCCCTCTGACCTGGATCCAGGCCGCCACCCACCACCACCTCTGACGTGCTCCCGCCGTGTCTCACACCCGCCGGGGCCAGCTGTGAAAAGCAGACAGCCAGAGCAGCGGTTCTGGCCAAACAGATGGAGCAGGCTGCCGACGGAGTGCGGGGAGCAGACGGCGGAGACGGGGCTCCACACGCCAGGGCCTCTCATTCCACACGCAAGGGGCCTGAGTACGCCTCGGAGGTCACCTTCTCCGGGAAAGGGGCCTCGCCCACCCCACTGGGCCAGCTGCCTGCCGGGAGCTGACCCCACAGCTCAGCTGGGCTTCGGCCGGGGGCCCTAAGGCTGCTGCCCACCTGGGCAGGTAAAATCAGGGAAGGACAGGCTCGGAACCCCCCGTGATGGGAACCAGGCCCATGCCTCACCAGACACTCCCCTGGCACCTCCCGCCCCCCACCCTCCTGGGCCTTGGGTGGGAACCCGTCCCCCTTGGCTGAGACCACCAACCCTCTGACGGCCCAGGCCCTTCCTGCCGGACCCCAGGCCTCTCGATTCCAGAGAGGCCCTGCTACCCAGCCCAGTCCCTCGCCAGTGGCTGGAGCATCTGCGGGATGTGGACCGCCCACACCAGCAGACTGGACAAGCAGCTGTCTCCAGCGCCAGCATGGACGGCAGGAGTCGGGGGACAGCCGGACACAGACGGCTCCCGAGCGGATCCACCGTGGGGCCAGCTCCCAGCCCCAGGGCCTCAGCGGCCTGGGGCCACCCAACTCCCACACCTCTTCCTGCCCTCAAAGCACCCGCGCCCACCCCACAGACCCGTCGCAGAAGCGCCCCGCGCCGTCGGCCATGCGGTCCCCACCCGGCCCCCTGGTCTGCGGCCACACCAGCCTCCAGGGGCCAAAGTCACTGGGCAGCCCTGGCCGAGCCGGACGCTGCTCACCCACCAGTTCCCAGCGGCCTCTCAGACGCCCCGCCGGGGGTCCCGTGCGCGCCACCCATCCGGGACCACAGGCTCCAGGAGCAGAGCCCTCTCTTGACCCTGCAGAGCTGACCCCGACATCCAGGAGAGAGCTGAGCACAGACGCGGGGCCCCGCGGGGGGCCGGGAAGGGGCAGCTCGCCTGACAGGCCTGGCCTGGAGCCTCCGGTAGAGTCCAGCCCCCGTCAGCACCATGCATCCTGCCCAGGCCTGGGGGCACACACAGGCTTCACTGCCTCCATCCTGCACCCAGGTCCTCGTGAAGGTCCCCGCTGACAAGCAGAGCCCCAGCCAGGGGGGCGTCTGAGAAGGGAGGGGCCTCCGAGGAGGAACCAGGAAATGGGAGGCACCCCCCTCCCCCAGTGGGGTTCCCCCTCCCCCTCCCCCCGGTGGGGTCCCTCTCCTCCCTCCCCACGCCGGGGGGACCCCCCACCCCCCGAGGACAGCGGGGCCGCAGGACGAACCCAGGCCTCCAGCAGCCTGAACTGCTCCCTCACGTGGGCCGGCTGCCGACCGGCTCTTACCTGATAAAACTCCCGAAGCCAGTTCTTCTGGAGGTTTTCTGGCTGTAAATTAAAGAGAAAAAAGAAGACAGTCAGACCCGTGACACAGTCTGGCAGCCGTGAGCAGAGGCGACCGTGACGGCCCGTCTGTGTGCTCACTGCAGCCTGGGGCACGACGCGGGGGTTGGGGGGGCCCTCCCGCTCTGGGGCCTGGTCTGCCGCTCAGTGGGGTGAGGGACGGGCACTGGAGCCTGGACCCACAGCCGACCCCAGGCCTGCTCGGTCCTCAGCAAGGGGGTGTCCCAGGCCAGGGCGTCGGGCAGGACCCAGCGGTGTGGGGTCCCAGGACTGGCCTGAGATTGGGCAAACAGCTGTGTGGCCCCAAGGGTTGGCTTTGGGCCTGCGGGCCCTGGGGGAGAGCCAGCACAGGGTCCCGAGAAAATGGGGGTGTGCCTCTTCCCACACATCCTGCCGGGCTCCTGGACCCCCAGGCCAGCCAGCCGAGCAGGGCACGTGGCCCACCCAAGCCAGCATGGTCCAGATGCTGAGATGGGGATGGGAGACACACGGGGACCCTCATCAGGCGGTGCAGAGCTTCAGACTGGGAGCTGAGCAGCCCCCGGGAGCTGGTGACACCAGCGCTAGTAGCCAGCGCCGCTGGGCCACACTTAGCAGCGGGAAGAAGTCAAACCTGACAGCGCCGGTCACCTGCCACAGCTCAGCACAGACAACCCAGCACCCCTCGGACACACACCCCGGATCCAAGTGGGGCTCTGCGCACCCAGGCTGCGGGCGGAGCCAGGGGCCGGGCTGACCACTGCCGGGCCCAACACGGTGGCAGCAGCGCCCAGGCAGGGGCTGCCGCCGGCGGAGGTTTCGACGTGTCCCGAAAAGCAGGAAGACTGGACTGTGGACAAACTAATGAACAAAGAGAAAAAACGGCTGCAGACCCAGAGTCTCACAGACCGCAGAGCAGGGGGCGGAGCACGTCCCAGGCACCTGCTGGACAAGACGGTGGCCCGCGTCCAGCCAGGTGTGGGGGCTTCCGGTCCCCAAGGCCAAGTTCAGGAGCCAGGCCCCCAGCCCCACGTCTGAGCAGCGAAGGGGCACACCCTGCCCCCTCGAGCGCCCTCACAGGCAAGCAAAGAGCTGGCAGCAGGAGACCGGCGGCCGGAGCAGCCCCAGCGGAGGCTGAACGTCAATCACTGGGCTTCAGGGCGTCGCACGCCCGAGCCAGGGAGAGTGCACCCTACGTCCTCGGGAGGCTGACACAGAGAACAGCGAGCGCGGGGAGTCGGTGCAGAAGCCAACCCCCAGACACGGCTGGGGGTGCAGGCGCCGTGGGAAGCAGCGTGGACTTGCCATGTGGCCCGGCGATGTGCCCACGAGGCACGGACACTCACCCACAGAGGCAGAGCCACGAGCACTCGCAGCAGCTGACCAGGAGCCGAAAGGCAGGAACCACCCAGAGACCTAGCAGCTCATGGACGGAGGTAAAACATGTGGTCACACACCACACCACAGGAGCCACTGACATGGGCCACACACAGACAGGCCTCAGAAACACCGCGCTCCGTGGAAGAGGCCAGACTGCAGCTTATCCAGCACCCAGAACCGGCAGGTCCACAGACGGGGCAGGCCGATGCCGGCCCCGGTGTCCAAGGGTTGGAGCTGATCTGTGCTGACCACGGGGAGGGCGGCTCTGCTTTGAGAGCAGGAACAGCACTGAAGTGTGCGCCCCTCTCCCACAGACCCCGCTGACCCCCACCTGAGCCGGGGACGCAGCGCACCCCACACCGCGGCTGGCACAGGGGGGGCCACGGTCAGTGGGCCTCGGGCCCCGAGGCGATCCAAGTAAGAGGACTTTCACTGCAAAGCCCCCAGTTCCACCTCCAGTCCCGACTGAGGACAGAGGGGCTGGTCTGGGGGTGCAGCGGGCCCCACCAGCATTTCAGCAACCTTTCCACACCAGCGCCCGTGGGCTCAGCCTGGAGACAGAGGAAGAAGAGATTTGGTCCAGAGTCCTGGCGTCCGGGGGCACGGCCTAACGTGAGAACCCTAACCCTGCACTCTACCCTGTGGCCCCGCCCGACACACACATGTCCCTGACACCCTCCCAAAAACCCCGCAAGAAGTGGCCCTTAGTAGGAGGCGGGAGGCCTTAGGACCAGCTGAACTGCTGCCGCTGCAGGCCCCTCACCACATTCCCAACGGACCCACACGACAGGCAGGACCGGGACCCTCCAGCCTGTCCCCGGCCCAGGACCCAACCCGCGTGGCTGCTCAGCTGGGCCCGCGGAGTCTCCAAGGGCAGGGACCAGCCCCTTCCTAAATCTGAGCTTCCCACCTCGGGCCCCCGGGGCTCACTCCCTCCAGCAGGCGTCCAGGAGTCGCCCCAGCTGCTACACAGAGGCATGAGCCTGGAGCCGGAGGAGACCTGGGGGCACAGAGCAGGGCAGTCGGGCCCCCGACAGCAGGCGCGACGCCCCTGCGTTTGAACCACGTGTCCTGCCCGAGGAAGGGCTGAGTAAAGCGCTAGGGCCGAAGGGCCTCCCTCTCCCGAGACAGGCTGGACACTGGCCGCAGGCCGGGCACTTGCCCAGTGGGTCCCCAGGGGAACATGGGCATGTGGACAAAGCAGGCTGCCCTGCGTGATTCTGGGCGGCGCTGACTGGAATCAACACAGTGACAGAGACCTGCCATGTCTCCTGTAATGGAAACCACGTGCACAGGCCCCGGGGCTGAGACAACAGATTCCTCTGCGTGGCCTGGGCTCGGTCCCCAGCGCCACCACCTGGTTCTCAGGCCTCCGCTCCTACCATCCCTACCGGGCACTCAGAACCTGGGCCAGGTCCTCCACGGCCATGCACACACATGTGTACACACACCACACATGCACACCGAGAGCACATACACTCCCACACATGCACGCACCTGCACGCACACACACCCACATGTGCACACATGAGTACACACATACATGTGCACATGCGTGCCCATTAGTGCACATGCACACACACGTGCACACACCTACACATGCAGACACATTAGTGCGCGCACACACGTGCGTGTGTACACATACCACCACCTGGACTTGGCCCTGTGGGGACGGAGAGCACGGCTCATGGCCCGACCTCCCCTGTCACAGACCTGCACAGCCCCCTGTAAAGTGGGCGCACAGCCTCCTGTAAAGTGGGCGCACGGCCTCCTGTAAGTGGCGCGCGGCCTCCTGTAAGTGGCGCGCGGCCTCCTGTAAGGGGGTGCCCACTCTGCCACTGCCCAGAAGGCCCTGGCCACACTGACCAGAGCGTGCTCCACAGTGGCTCACGTAGAAGCCCACCTGCTCCGGGGGCCCTCGGCCCCAAGCAGCTTGTAAGTCATCTGGGCACCCTGCTGCGGCCTGTGAAACGGAGCAGAACCCTTGTGTGGGGTCGGGCCCAAGGCCTGGGGGCGGTTCAGCCAAGTCAACGGCCTAAGAGCAGCACAGGGATGCACTGCAGGGCGGCCACGTCGGGAAGGGGCGGCAGCACCTGACTCTCCTCTAGGCAGACTCCGGGTCACCAGCTCGCTTAGATCTCCAGTATGAAACCAGTATGACTCTCAGCCCAGGCGGTTGTGGGTTCCCCGAAACCATTAACCCAACAGTCCTAATGAAAGTGCTTTAAACAAAGATACACCCGTGTTTATGTTTAGAGAGGCCTCCAGAGGCTGCAGGATAATTAAAGGGCAGCTCTAAACAGACAACAGGGGGACCAAAATTACTCTGAAACAGAAGAAATCCACTGACTGGGGACGAGAGCATCCAGAGAACCCAGTCCACCTGCTCATCAGGGCCACGCTGACCCACTCGGTGACCCGACCTGGGCACTCTTCCTGGCCAGCATCTCACCGCCCAGCTGACTGCTGGCCTCTCAGCCCCTCCGGGTCCCTGTGGGTTGTCCGCTCACCACTGACCTCCACACGGGGACGTCGCTTTCCTTTCACAAGCACTCCTCACGGCCTTGCCCAACTCCGGAGCCCCCAGCCTGAACCCTGAGTGCTGAGGGGGCAGCACCATGACCCCAGGCCACCAGACTTTGGGCTCCTCGCCCTCCCTGCCATCACACTCACACATGCACACACACACTCACGCAGACACACGCACATGCTCATACACTCACACATGCACATACAGACACACACACATGCGGACACACAGAGATACACACATGCCCACACACATGTTCACATGAGGACACATGGCTCACAAACTCACATGTGCACCTGTGGGGACATACATGCAGACACACACAGATACACACACATGCTCACACACTCATACACATGTGCACATGTGGGCACACACATGCTCACACACGTGCACATGTGGGCAGACATACACACAAAGATACACACACGCAAGCTCACACACACCTACTCACACACACAAAGATACACACTCACATGCTCCCACACACATGTGCACATGCACACACATGCTCACATACACATGGACATGCAGGGACACACATGCAAACACACGTGCACATGTGGACACACACATGTAGGCACACAGATACTCACAGGCTAACACACTCCCATGATGGTACCCATGCTCACACACTCCCATGTGCACATGTGGACACACACACACAGAAACACACTCACAAGCTCACAAACGTGCACATGCAGACACACATGCTCACACCCATAGGCATTCACATATGCTGACACACGCATGCTCTCCTCACACACGCCTGCGCCCCCCAGCCCTCCCCAGCTCCTCCATCCATCTGTCCTTTGCCTCTGCCTCCGGAGCCGCTCCTGGCCAGGCCTGGAGGCCTCCTCATATTTGCAGCCCATATTTAGCTAATGCAGAGTTATTTTTAAAACCACTAAAGTAAGAATAAAAGATAAACACACACACTAGTTCTTAAAGAAATATTCTCATCTCAGCCCAAAGCGTGGGCCAGGCCAGCTCTGTGAGCTCAGAGAAAGCACAGGCCACCCTGAGCTTTCATGCACCCTGTCTGCAGAGACTGTCAAAACACTCTGGGAAACATTAAAAGTACTCATTCTTCCCA